CGATCCTAGCGGGGTTACAGGCGCGTTTGCCTGGGGGATTATGGGCGCACTGACCCGCTACTGAAACAAGCCCTTTTATCCTAATGGTCTAGTGGTTGGGATTCTGACATTGCCCATGCCTTTCACATCCGCTCGCTGCCCCAAAGCCGATGTGACATGCTTCACCGGTGACGGTTCGAGTTCGGTGAGCAAGTCTGGGCGAGGTGTCACGCTATAGGTAGTGCCACTATCGATCACCCAATAGTCCAGGGGGTGTAGGGTCACCTTCCCCACAGCTGCTGGCTCCTCAAAGCCTTCATCCTTCTCTGGACCAGTCGGTACTTGCGTCGACACGAAGTAGAATAGACCCGGGTACCGATCGTTGCTCGGGTCCTTGTCATTGTCTCCGCTCTTCATGTTTGCAGCTCCGCCACCGCGACCGCCACAGCCTCCACGGCCTCTTCCTCTCCCTCCTCCTGCTCCTCTACCCTCCTGGCCTTGAGCAGGGGTCCAACCATCAGGGAGCTTGTAGCAATCGCGCCATATATGTCCGCTCTTGTGACAATAATGGCATTCGCCGTCGAATCGGCCGCGACCGCGCCCGTAGCTCTTGTCGTCGCTGCCGTAACCGCCACTCCCGCGGCCTCCGCCGAAGTTGCTGCCACCAAACCTTCGTCCCCCTCGTCCTCTGCCTCTTCCTCGACCATATCCACGACCAATGCTCGCAGCCCCAGCGCCATTCGCACTCGCCAACTCACGGCGGCGGAAATCCTCTTGAAGGATAGCTCGCTTCACGTCTTCGAGCGAGAGGCGGGGCAAGTCGCGATTCAGGTTGATGATGAGCGAGGACCATGATTCGGGGAGTAGGGCCAGCAAATTGGTCTTCTTTTGGAGCTCACTGTAGTTCAAATCCGCTCCCTCAAGCCGCGTCAACAAGTCGAAGAATTTCTGCACCCCTTCTTCAACCGCTTCATCCTCTTCAATGCGTAACGTCGCCATTTGCCGTTCCAACACCATAGCTACCGCCGCTGTTGCAGGAGCGTGTACACCCTTGAGAGCAGCCCATGCCTTTGGTCCCTTGTCTGGTTCACGCTGGAAAGGCTTGATGTGACGGATTTGGCTACTCCCCAACGCTTGCCCAAGTAGGAGGTAGCCTTGTGCGCTCTTCCGCACCCACGGGCTCTTCTCCGGGTCGTCCTCGGGACGCTTCTCCGTTCCTTCCATCACCTCCAGTAGTTCATAGTGGTCAAATATGTTCTCCATTTTGAAGGACCACTCAGCAAAGTTGTCACCATTGAACTTGTCAAGGCCAAACACTCTAGGCTCATCCCTAGATGGGCCAACACTTGGTTGCACGGGCGCCGTGGCTGAGTCACGGGGTTGGCCTTGAGCTTGGGCTTCTCCACTGCCACCAGCACCTCTGCCACCCCTTTCCTCAGGTCCAGCCATTGTCGAAACTGCTCCAAGGGGCTCTGATACCACTTGTTATAGTCACAGTAGGCTCCAATGTGCCTAAAACGAAAGATAGAGTGCACAGTCGGATTTCTGCACAGCGGCTTCAAACGTTCATAACGTTCTGGTCACAGCTTCAAATGACTTGATTCAACTTGGATCTGGAGCGTCTTACTGTCGCCTACACTAAGCAATTTAGATCACGCGATTTGACCAAGTATTGACGACACACTGTTGGTTTGAACGAACGGCACTATGGCAGCCACTATAGTCTTAAAACACAAGATAGGAAGAGTTAGGGAGAGTTACGAGTTGGGAATGACTCCCAGCTCCTACAAACCCCAAGAGCCGAGGTACGGTGATGTGGAACAGTCCCACACTGTCCCCAACCACGAAGGGTCTCGAAACTACCCTTCACTAGGGCCTACACCAAGTGAAATGTTACACTACTCAAAGTAATGTAACTATCTTCAATATCTTGAGGTGTACCCTTTTTCGCGGGCTTCCCGATCACTTGAATGTTGACACCAGGGGCTCGGGTTCTTCATCACAAACTCATCCTTGAGTTCTTGATGGGTCTGCTGCACACACCTGCGACACGCCGAACGTTCGACAAGCGACAAAATAGAAACCGCGCACGACAAAATAGAAACCGCGCGGGACACACAAAATGACCGCGTTACACACGACTAGCGATAATTCGCTATTGACTTGACACACACACTCGACATCATGACCCATCATTCACACACTATTATAAGCATGAAATATATATTTATTTCATGCACTCACTCCATTCCATGCAGACACGCATGCACGCACACGGACAATAAGCCGAGTGCAAACCGTAGGGTTGCACCAACACCTACATCTCCCAATTCACCAAACAACCACGTTTGTCTACCTCTACCTCTAACCCACCTCCCTACATCTCCCAATTCACCAAACAACCACGTTTGTCTACCTCTACCTCTAACCCACCTCCCTCCATCTCCCAATTCACCAAACAACCACGTTTGTCTACCTCTACCTCTAACACACCTCCCTCCATCTCCCAATTCACCAAACAACCACGTTTGTCTACCTCCACCTCTAACCCACCTCCCTACATCTCCCAATTCACCAAACAACCACGTTTGTCTACCTCTACCTCTAACCCACCTCCCTACATCTCCCAATTCACCAAACAACCACGTTTGTCTACCTCTACCTCTAACCCACCTCCCTCCATCTCCCAATTCACCAAACAACCACGTTTGTCTACCTCTACCTCTAACCCACCTCCCTCCATCTCCCAATTCACCAAACAACCACGTTTTTCTACCTCTGCCTCTAACCCGAACCTCTACGTGGGCCTCCTCGTCGCCCTCGCTGCCCCTCCCATGATCGCCTTCCCCGTCGCCCTTTCGCTCACCGTCGCCTTCGCTTCGGCTTCCTGTCCCAATGCCTCACTTGCTCCCACGCCCGCCCTTCTTCCCCCCAATTACCGCCTTCGTCCTTCCCAATCTAGTCTTCCGCTCTACCTATCTCCCTCCTTCCTTCCCTCCCCCATCCCCTCCTTAATCCCTCTCTCCTTCCTTCCCGCACCCTCTCCCCTTCATTTCCTATATACCTTTTTTTTTCATTCCCACTATATCCTTCCCTCCTTCACTTTCTGCCCAAAAACCTTCCTCCATCCCCTAATTTTTCTCCCTCATCCCCCCTACTACTTACTTTCTTCTCACCCGCGACTTGCTCCCTTGTCTACCTCACCCCACTCACCTCTTTCCAACTCCTGATTTACCCCCACATTCCCCCCACCTACCTCTCTCCGCACTTAGCTAACCCCCCACATTCCCCCCACGCACCTCCCTCCACCCCGTGGTGAACCCCCCTCATACGCACCTCCCTCCATCTCCCAATTCACCCTTCCAAAAGGGACCTGCAGGGCGGGAAGGAGGAACGGAAGGGGAGGCGGGAGGAGGCAAGGCAGAGGGGTGGGAGGACAAAGGGAGGGAAGGAGAGGAAAGAGTATTTGGAGGGAAAGAGAAATGGAGACAAGGAGGGAGAGGCATGTGAAGGGGGGTGGGAGGGCCATGACGATAGCAGGTACGTACGTATGCTTCCCGTGCAAGTTGTCCTCGTTTCCCCTGCCCGTTGCCCTTCCTCCCCACACATACTATTCCCTTCTGTCCTCCCACTTACTGCCCTCCCTCATCCAACTATCCTTCCTCCTGACCCCCACTTACCATGCTCCCTCCCTCATTTCCCTCACACACTCTCTCTCTCCTCCCTTCCCTCTTTGCCTATATTATACCTTCACTCTGTCTCCCTGTCTCTTCTTATCTTTTGCCCCACCCCCTTCCGACCCTCCCTTTATACGAGCCTCGCTTTATTCCACCCCCCTTTTTCCCACCCTCCCTCTTCTCCTACCCTCGCTTTTCTTCCACTCTCTGTTTTCTCCCAACCTCCCTTTCTCCCACCCTCCCTTTTCTCCAACCCCCCCTTTTCTCTCACCCTCCATTTTCTCCAACCCCCTCTTTTCCTCCCACCCTCCCTTCTCCCACTCTCCCTGTTCTCCCACCATCCATGTGCTCCCACTGTTTCTCTCCCCCGCCATTTGTATATATGCCTCCGTATTTTTTTCACACTCCCTTCTCACTGCCTCCATATTTCCCTGCGTCCTACCTTTGACCCACCCGATATCCTGCTCTCCATATATTCCACCCTCCCTATATCCGTGCCCCCCAGAAGACATGGACTTACTGCATGGACTTACTGTGCTAGCACATGTCATGCGCTGCACTAGCACATGTCATGCACTGCACTGCGCTAGCAAGGGTCGTGCACTGTCCTAGTGCGAAGGGGTAGTAGGCCAAAGGAGGGGTTTTTTAGGCGCCTCTAGACTAGACGCACTGCACTGCTCTAGCATGGGTCATGCACTGTCCTTGGGCAGGGGAACAGTAGGTGAAAGGAGGGTATTTTTGAGGCGCCCAAAAAATAGACGCACTGTACTGCCCTAGCTTGGATCTTGCGCTGTCTGAGTGCAAGGGACTAGTACTAGGCCAAGGAGTGGCGGTGATGGGATGGTTGGATAAGGGAGGAAACGAGGAGGGCAGCACAGGGGAAGGTCTGACAACCGTAGGGGAAAGGGTAGAGGCTGCCAAGTAGTTATAAACCTACCATCCTGCCCAGGGCTTAACAAGCAAAAGAGTCAGACATGATGCTTTGGATCACAGCACATCATGAACACTACTGCCACCTGCATCTCTCTAGTATATTTGAAACAGTGCATTTTGTTCCATCCATTATCATTAATAATTGCACGTTGACACGGATTTCTCCCTTCTCTCCTCCTCAGAGATCAACTAGCATCCCATGACTAAGCTGACACCACCAACCAACCTCTCCGCTGCATGCAGCTGCATCTACCGTACTACCCCCCTGGGGGCCTGACTCCCTCCCCCTTTCCTTGCAAAGTCGTCAGCATCAACTTCTCTACTATCTTCTCAACCTCCCGTGTTGTCATAACACATTGGCTCCCCGTGTTGCTCACTTCCTGTGTTGCTTACTACAGTCTTCCGAAGACTCTACGCAGCAATGGCGTTCACCATGGCAATGGACGGGTTCCTCCAACCCGCAGGCACCGCATTGAACCCATACCCACCCTTGGCCAGCTTCCCGATCATGAACTGCATGAACGCCTTGGCGATCTTCCCGCCAGTCACGCCAGTCAGCGACTTGCGGATGAACCCGTATTCCATGGACACCATCGCAGGGGTCTTCGCTCCGCCCCTCCAGATGAAATCCACGTTGCTCCAGGACCCGTCGGCTGCGGGAGGCGCGCCCACGAGCGCCGCGCCGGGGACCCATGACGGCGGCGCGACGGCGACGCCGGCGGCGTTCTTGAGCGCGGCGATCACGCGCTTCGGGTTGTTGGGCTTCCTGGCGTTGAAAGGCACGACGCTGCAGCCGCCGGTGAAAGCGTAGCCAATCGCGCCCCTGGTTTTCAGCACCGCGGCGCACACGGCGCTCGTTCCCTCCACCTTGGTGACGCCGGCGTAAGCCATGGCCGTGCCGTCCGTGCCGCCGCTGTACCCGGACACAGCCTTAGACCACATGGTCTTGACAATGGCGGTGCTGCCGGACTTGTCGCTGCGCCCCACGGGAGTAATGGTGCCCGCAACCTTGCCGACCGCGCCGGGAACGGCCGACCAGGCGGAGATGGCGCCACTGTAAATCTGGAACGTCTGCGTGGCCGTGAGCACGATTCCGGGCTTTCCGTTTACGAAGAAGCTGAAGGTGGAGACGCAGAGCGGCACGGTGATCTTGCCGCTGGCGACGACGCCGCCCTCTTGCGCCGCGGTCATGGGATCATCGGAGACGGCAATGAGGTAGGTTCCGCCGTTGAAGCCGGTGATTCCGGTGCCTGATCCCACAGAGTCGTATGCAACGACGTCCTGGGAGATTCCCGGCTTGGCCGCGTTCCATGCCTTGATGATCGCCCCGCCAGCCTGGAATGTGGCATATATCACGACGGGGATTCATTTTATTGGAACATTTTTTTGTACGACGCTGTGGATTCACGGCATGCTGGAAATCATGATGCTGACTTTGTGATGACATCACAAAAACCCCTCGTTTTTGAATCGCTTGGAAACGGGTCGAATTGGTTTCGGAAGTTGGGTTGCGTGGGTTGTCCAACCTTTTTCGCCCAACCACCAGCGTAAATGTGTCATTCTCAGATTTCGATCTGCTTTCGCGCATCCGAACCGACTCGCGAGACATTGTGCGCCTCGGCGAACCGAAATTGGCCCAATTTCGGTCAATGTCAGGTGTACAGTGCTCTTTTGACCAGGTTGAAAAAGCAGTTTCGAGAATGGGGTGCATTGGTTTCCCGCAAATATTTCTGGGTCACCGAGCCACAGCTTTGCTTGGCGCACGACGAGACGTGGCGATAGGGTGCGTTTGGGCCCTGCAAAAATGGTCTCGCATAGGAGTAATTATGGACCAAGATGAGCCTACAGTGTTTCTTGAAAACAAATTTTACATCAAGTCAAAGTTATGTCTTATAATATTGAAAGGCTGCTGGTTAAACAATCACATGTGCATGTACATATATACCATGTACAGTCATTAGTTGTTATTGCATGTAATCTTGCCTCTTAATACAAAACAGGTTTGGTTGCCTATGAAAAAGTACAGATGCGCGTAGGATTTATATCTAATTTAGCATGTACTTGTTAAGATAGAATGCATTTTCGCAGTGGTAAGACTTGATAATGTGCACCTGGCGCAGTATGCTTTCAGTGTCAATCACTGAGTAGCGCGATACCCCAGTTGCCCACCTAAGACGTTTGCACCCTGTTTTTGCATCCTCGCCTGCGCTTGACCAGTACTTCACATATGCCCACTCCTTCGTGCACCCTCTCTCTTTCGTATGGAACATCAACAAGAGCCTTCCGTACCACTCCGTCTCTTCACCTGTCGCTGTTGTTCCCACGATGGCAACATCAGAGAACCACGGCCTAGAGTGAGACAGCGGGGTTGCTTTCACGAAATGTGCTACACGGGCGAAACTCGCATCTTCTGCAGCAGGGATGGCAAGTGTTGTGTGAGCCTGCAACCAGTAAGAGACACAAATCATTACAAAGTAACATTCAGTTACATATGGTATCTGCTTCATGTCACCATTGTCACCACTTACACGAACTTTCGTTGGCCTCAGCTGGCGTCGAAGCAATGCACCCGCAAAGGCATGGTGTGCCTCGCTGTGGAGCTTCGCCCACTCACGGACAAACCAGTTGGCAATGGGAGTGACGTCATCGGGTTTCACGTGGAAGAAGTAGGACTCCTTCACCATCACCCGAGCTCCATCCTCGATGGCCTGGCACGTGTCAGAAAAGGCAGAGATTGGAAAAAAAGCACACCATTCTCCCCCTTCGTTTGCTCCCCTCCCTGCCCTGCACTTCCTCTTTCACTGCCCCCTCCCCTGCCTTGAGCTAACTCTTCCCCTGCTACCCACCAAGGACCTGCCGGCAAACTTTCCATGCCACCCAGCCCGAGCTGTCCCGCCAGGCACTCCTACTCACCGCATTCACCATCTCAGCACTCACCCTCCCATCACCGCACTCACCATCTCAGCACTCACCCTCCCATCTCAGCACTCACCCTCCCCTCACATCACAGCACTCACCATCTCAGCACCTCCCCTCACAGCACTCACCATCTCAGCGCCTCCCCTCACAGCACTCACCATCTCAGCACCTCCCCTCACAGCACTCACCATCTCAGCACCTCCCCTCACAGCACTCACCATCTCAGCACCTTCCCTCACAGCACTCACCATCTCAGCGCCTCCCCTCACAGCACTCACCATCTCAGCACCTCCCCTCACAGCACTCACCATCTCAGCACCTCCCCTCACAGCACTCACCATCTCAGCACCTCCCCTCACAGCACTCACCATCTCAGCACCTCCCCTCACAGCACTCACCATCTCAGCACCTCCCCTCACAGAACTCACCATCTCAGCGCCTCCCCTCACAGCACTCACCATCTCAGCACCTCCCCTCACAGCACTCACCATCTCAGCACCTCCCCTCACAGCACTCACCATCTCAGCACCTCCCCTCACAGCACTCACCATCTCAGCACCTCCCCTCACCGCACTCACCATCTCAGCACCTCCCCTCACAGCACTCACCATCTCAGCACCTCCCCTCACAGCACTCACCATCTCAGTGCCTCCCCTCACAGCACTCACCATCTCAGCACCTCCCCTCACAGCACTCACCATCTCAGCACCTCCCCTCACAGCACTCACCATCTCAGCACCTCCCCTCACAGCACTCACCATCTCAGCACCTCCTCTCACAGCACTCACCATCTCAGCACCTCCCCTCACAGCACTCACCATCTCAGCACCTCCCCTCACAGCACTCACCATCTCAGCGCCTCCCCTCACAGCACTCACCATCTCAGCACCTCCCCTCACAGCACTCACCATCTCAGCACCTCCCCTCACAGCACTCACCATCTCAGCACCTCCCCTCACAGCACTCACCATCTCAGCACCTCCCCTCACAGCACTCACCATCTCAGCACCTCCCCTCACAGCACTCACCATCTCAGTGCCTCCCCTCACAGCACTCACCATCTCAGCACCTCCCCTCACGGCACTCACCATCTCAGCACCTCCCCACACAGCACTCACCATCTCAGCGCCTCCCCTCACAGCACTCACCATCTCAGCACCTCCTCTCACAGCACTCACCATCTCAGCACCTCCCCTCACAGCACTCACCATCTCAGCACCTCCCCTCACAGCACTCACCATCTCAGCACCTCCCCTCACAGCACTCACCATCTCAGCACCTCCCCTCACAGCACTCACCATCTCAGCACCTCCCCTCACAGCACTCACCATCTCAGCACCTCCCCTCACAGCACTCACTATCTCAGCACCTCCCCTCACAGCACTCACTATCTCAGCACCTCCCCTCACCGCACTCACCATCTCAGCACCTCCCCTCACAGCACTCACCATCTCAGCACCTCCCCTCACAGCACTCACCATCTCAGCACCTCCCCTCACAGCACTCACCATCTCAGCACCTCCCCTCACAGCACTCACCATCTCAGTGCCTCCCCTCACAGCACTCACCATCTCAGCACCTCCCCTCACGGCACTCACCATCTCAGCACCTCCCCACACAGCACTCACCATCTCAGCGCCTCCCCTCACAGCACTCACCATCTCAGCACCTCCTCTCACAGAACTCACCATCTCAGCACCTCCCCTCACAGCACTCACCATCTCAGCACCTCCCCTCACAGCACTCACCATCTCAGTGCCTCCCCTCACAGCACTCACCATCTCAGCACCTCCCCTCACAGCACTCACCATCTCAGCACCTCCCCTCACAGCACTCACCATCTCAGCGCCTCCCCTCACAGCACTCACCATCTCAGCACCTCCCCACACAGCACTCACCATCTCAGCGCCTCCCCTCACAGCACTCACCATCTCAGCACCTCCTCTCACAGCACTCACCATCTCAGCACCTCCCCTCACAGCACTCACCATCTCAGCACCTCCCCTCACAGCACTCACCATCTCAGTGCCTCCCCTCACAGCACTCACCATCTCAGCACCTCCCCTCACAGCACTCACCATCTCAGCACCTCCCCTCACAGCACTCACCATCTCAGCGCCTCCCCTCACAGCACTCACCATCTCAGCACCTCCCCTCACATCACTCACCATCTCGGCACCTCCCCTCACCGCACTCACCATCTCAGCACCTCCCCTCATCGCACTCACCATCTCAGCGCCTCCCCTCACAGCACCTACCTTTTGCATAGCCGTTTGCACGCCTTGGTCGGTGGCCACGTTGCTGATGGAGTCAAGCTTCATCTCGTGGTGCTTCATGATCTGCGTGTCCACTTTCCGCTTATTCGATCTCCTGTAGATTTGCTTCAGCAGGGTGCTATGCAGGTGTTCGAAGAGGTTGGTGCTGTACTCTTGCACATTCCCAGCTCGTCGAATGCCAGGGATGAAATGAGTCATCAAGTGTGTTTTGATGAGGTTCCACCTTGATTTCTGCTCGGGGAAGGCAGCCGTGAGTAGTTTCACCAGCCTGGGATGGGTGGGAGCATGAATAAATGAAGGAGTATATGGATAAGCGTTCAATTTGTAAGGGATGGAATCACTAGGGGAGTTAGATGGTTTAGGTTGTTTCGTTTGGTGAGGTACCTTGTTGATTTGGCTTGTAGTTCGGAAAGACTTCTCTCGGTGTGAGAGGCGGCGTTGCAGCAGAGATACCAGTCAAGGTATGCTCTGATGGCCTCCAGCTGGGGCGAGCCGACAACGTCAGCCACCAAAAAGATCAACACCTGGATGCATGCAGCATGGTGTGTAGGAAAGGTGAGAGAAAAGATTGAAGGAGCTTCTTCCCATGAATGACTTCAAGCGAGTTTACAGCAGTGCCTTCTCCACCAGCCCATCTTCTCTCCCCTTCCTCTTCCGTCCCTGCCCAGCTCGGCCCACTGTTCCCACCCTCCCCCTTCCACCTCTCCATGGTCTGCAAGGCCTCTAAGCATCATACCTGCATGACCGATCGATGTTCAAAAGCTGCGACTTGTGCCCCGGTTTTGAAGTATTCGCTCCTCGGAAAACGCAAAGAGTTGATCCGTGTTTTCAGGGTGAGCCGTAGAAGGCGCCTGCGTATGGTGGGATGGAAAGATTTCGGATATGGGGGGCGGCAGATCAGGATGGAATAAAGTTGAGCTGACACACTACCATGTGCTCACAAATGTAGGCTTGACATGCCAACATTGTAACGATGGCTTCTTGACATGCGACTGGACAGGCTGAGGACACGCTAAGGGAGGAGCAGGACTTGTAGAGGGCGGGAGACCAAGAACCTGCTCAAGGAGCAGAACGAAGTACGGCCTTGGCTGCGCAGCGCCTCCAGAACCAGCAGGGACAGCACTAGTACCCCCAGCAGCAGCACCAGCGCCAGCAGCACCTCCAGCTCCAACAGCGCCAACTTCAGCACCCTCAGAAGCACCAGCGCCAGCAGAACCACCAGCACCAACACCCCCAGCAGCTCCAGCTCCACCACCTCCAGCAGCTCCAGCTCTAGTAGCACCTCGAGCAGGACTCCCAGTCCCAGCAGCTCTAGAACCGCCAGGACGAGCACCTCCAGGACCAGTAGCAACAGTAGTATCTTCAGCTCCAGCAGCACGGCTCCAGCGCTGGGCAAACCACTCGCGTAGCTTCTGCGGAGAGAGTAGCTCCCGCCTCGACGAAGCACCGCTAGAGGCCACACGAGTAGACCCAGCACCCCCAGGCTCCGCACCCCCAGGCTCAGCACCCCCAGGCTCCGCACCCCCAGGCTCAGCACCCCCAGGCTCCGCACCCCCAGGCTCCGCACCCCCAGACTCAGCACCCCCAGGCTCAGCATCCCGAGACTCAGCACCCCCAGGCTCCGCACCCCCAGACTCGGCACCCGCAGGCATAGCGCCCATAGCAGCACCAGAGTCAACAGCTACCTCGACAGGCTCAACTGCGTCTACCTGGGACACACCTGACGGGGCAGGACCTTGAGGGGGGAGGGGGTCTACCGGGGGAGGACCTGGCGCAAGGAAGAGCGGCGGCGGGGGGAGGGGCGCAGTGCGGTAGGGGAAGAAACGGTAGTAAGGCACCGACTCGTCAAAGGTGACGTCTTGGGAGGACAAAACACGGCGCGAGGTGGGGTGGTAGAACCGCCATCCAGGCGCGTCAGGGAGGAAGCCAAGGAAGACGCAGGGAACAGCACGAGGGGACAGCTTGTCCGCAGACAAGTTGCGGACAAACGCTCGAGATCCCCAGACTCAAAATGCAGACGCATCGCCAACCTTCCCCATCCACCGCAAGGTGGGGGAGGTCTCTGGCAAGGAGACCCGGGGCTGAAGGTTGAGCTGATGTGCCGCGTACTGAACCGCAAACGGCCACAGAAAATGGGGAGCAGCCGCATGGATCATGGACGTACGAGCGACGTCCATGACCATGCTAATGCGGCGCTCAGCAATCCCATTTTGCTGTGGAGAGGCCGGAAGTGTGAAGGTCTGGCGGATGCCCTGTGCACGACAGAAGGCTCCATGACGGGCAGAGGAAAACTCTCCGCCTCTGTCAGAGTGCAGACGCAGAACGGGAAAGTCCGAGCCGAACCTCTCTCTGAGCTGGAGACGAGCTGCGCGGATCCAGTCGATCAACACCTCAGTGACGTCACCCTTGCTGCGCAAGGGGAACACCGTGGTGTAACGAGAGTAGTCGTCAACCACTAACAGGAAGCAACGCTCGTGACCCTGGCCACGGACGCGGGCGGGGCCCCACACGTCCATGTGAAGAGTCTGCAGGGGAGCCTGTGTCGGAGGAAACTCGGAGGAGTGAGGAGCGGCGCGCTGCCGCCCCTCGACGCAGGGAACGCAGGTAGGGACCGGCCCCGAAGGTAGGGGAGGGAGGGACCGGGGGAGACCAGAGACAAGGACACGGGAGGCCATGCCTCGGAGACGAGGCAGGGAGGGGTGACCAAGGCGGTGGTACCAAAGGAGAGTCTGGTGGGACAGGAGACGACACGAGCAGGGGGCAGACTCAGGACCAGACCTGGACGCTACAGCAAACACCTGACTCGACGTTGCTACCTGACCATACTCAGTAACAGGAGGAGACTCAGTGGTCAGTGTGTCCAGGCTGGACCCCGGCTGACGGGTAAACGTGGCCAAGTGTCGGCCCGTCCGAGCACACGTACAGTGGGTCACCCGCTGACTCGCAGGTGTGAACTGGTCAACCCCCCGATCCTGTAGATCAGCTCCACTCACCAAGTTCGTAGAGAACGAGGGGAGGTAGAGACCTAACAGGGGGCCAGAGGGGGCTGCCGGACACGGTAAGACAGTGGAGAAGCTAGCAAGGACAGGACCCCCAGAGGGGTCCGCTAGGGAGACCGCAACCGGCCGACTGAGCGGCGTAAGCGTGGTGCGGTCTCGAAAGAAGGAGCGGGAAGCACCCGAGTCAAGGGTGAAGGTGTGTAAGGCCTGAGCCGACGTGGTACCTGAGAGAGCAGACTCACCAGCACCTGGGGCAGCAGACGCACTAGCACCTGGAGCAGCAGTCTCACCAGCACCTAGAGCAGCAGCCTCAATGCCCGGGTCAGGCGGAACATACAGGTAACAGTCACCCTCATCACAGTAGACACAGCATACATGGCAGCAAGAATAGCATCATAGTCAAGATCAAAGATAGCTACCCCCGCCCTAGACAGCTCTCCCCAGCGAGGGATCTCAATGGCGTCAGGGAACTGATGACGCCAAGCGTCCGTCAGGCGGCCGAAGCAGCGCTGGGTGGAGTTTGTGCCCCCGCACTGCTCACCAGCGCGGTCGCCTGTACAGAGGACGTAGGTGCAGGGACCAGTACCCCCACCCCGCTAACGCCCAGCGTACCACTCACGAAGCTGCTGAGGGGACAGGGTCTCACGAGCGTGCTGCTGCTGCTGGCGCTGACCACCACCGGAGCCACGACCAGCTCCACTGCCACCTCCGCCGCCTCCGCCACCTCCGCCGCCTCCGCCACCGCCGCCGCCTCTGCTCCCTCCGCCACCACCGCCGCCTCCTCCGCCTCCACTGCTGCCATCGACACCTCCACCCCCGCCACCACTCCCACCACCACCCCCACCCCCTCCACTGCCTCCACCACCATCTCCACCGCCCCCACTGGCCCCCCCTGCGCCCTTGCCCTCCTTGCCCTTGCAGGTGCGGCGCTTCCCGCTAGGGACAGACGCAGCGCCGACCGACTCGAAGCCAACGAGGTCGGCCGCAGCAGTAGAAGCAACAGAGGGCAAGATGGGGGAGGGAGAACACCCCTTAAAAACGGGGGTGCGAGGGTCACCACGAGAGGCTCCTACAGCGACTATGTTCTTCTCTGCTGCTACAAGGCGCTCCTCGAGAAGGTCAACGGTGAGTGTGGTGGGGCAAAATGAGAGGAAGTGGTCCCTGACTATGCGAAAGGAGTCAGGGAGCCGGGTGACTATGTAGTAGAGGGTGATGTACATGTGGGGGGGGGGGGTTCTTGGGACAAAACTCAGCGGGAAGCGCAGCGCGGTAGCGAGTGTCACTAGTGCGAAGGTGCGTAATGAGGTCAGCGACTGTGGGAAAGGCAGCAAGGTCAGGGAACAGGTACGGCAGCATGAGGCGGCTAAGCGCAGCAGTGGCAGAGGAAGAGTAGCGTGCAACTACAGCGTCGTACAAGGTCTTAGCACTCTTGTACTGGCTTAAGTGCGCACGCTCAGTGGTCGATAAGTGGCGACGCACAGCAAGACGTGCAGCAGCATCGCGCGTGGCCCACTGTGAGCGAACAGTGCTGTCAGTAGTAGCAGGCGGGGCAGGAGAGACACCAGAGGTGAGATCGAACAGTGAGAGTCCGTCCGCCCTATCGCACTGTAAGAACAGCTGGAGGTCATCGACCCAGACCTCAAAGTCAACAGCACGACCCTCAGTATCAAAGGTAAGGACACTGGGGGTAGCCATGACTGCAGTGGTCTATCAGGGAGTGAGCTCACCAGTCCAAGGAAGTAGGGCCGGGGCGCGCCGGAAGGAAGGGCTGCTCGGCGGCTCGGCTGCTGGGCGGCTCGGCGGCGCGGCTGCTGGGCGGCGCGGCGGCTCGGCGGCTCGGCTGCAGGGTGGCTGGGCGGCTCGGCGGCTCGGCGGTTCGGCTGCTGGGCGACTGGGCGGCTGGGCGGCTCGGCAGCTCGGCTGCTGGGCGGCGCGGCGGTTCGGCGGCTCGGCTGCTCGGCGGCTCGGCGGCCCAGTTGTTGGGCGGCTCGG